TTGAGTGTGGCAAAGACGCAGAGAACGTGGATTATGATGACCAACCATCACAAGACAAAGACTCCCTTCTCCTCGACAGATTGCTGATACAGGAAACAGCCGGGCGGGGACGTCCGAAAGCCTTGTGCTATGAGGACATACCTATGATGATTGTTCGCCATCCAGTGACGGGACGAGCCGTACCGGCAATGGCTATTAAGTTCATCCACCACAAAGGAGCTGACAACAAGCCAAGACCGTGAGTATGCGTAGCGCCGCGGCTCCAATCGCTTTTGGTGCTTTCCATGTTGACTATGGACAGGACTGTCTTCTTCTTTACGCCTGCAAGAAGGCTCATCTTCTGTGCCGTTAGCACCATCATCGCTCTAGCGCTCCACGACCAGGCTTTCGACGCAGCAAGCCTGACAGATGCAACCCAGGTACTAAGAGCAGAGGTCAGGGGTCCAGTCCAGTCTACGGCTTTACGGTGGAAGCAGTCAATGCTCAAGGTTCCGATCTTTCGAAAGTTCAGCGGCAGTGCGTTGGCCGTTGACGAGGCCATGAGCTATTCCAAATTACGAGACGACATGGGCCGACAGAGCCTTGATGCAGGTTTCGAGAAGGCCTGGACGCCACGGTTCGCCTGAAGAGGAGCGGCAAATGCAGCAAATGGTAGGTTGAGGTGAACAGCATTTGTGAGGACTTCAGATGCTTAAAGCTTTGACTACAGGGAATGCGTCTGATGCCGTGCGCGACCAGATGATGCGCCACGATCCCAAGTTCGCCACGTTTCAAGGCGCATACCTTAACGAGAACGTCCAGTTCGACCTCCAGAATACCTTCCTAGAAGAGGAAACCGAGGAGCAGATGTACAAGGTGTTTGCGCATGTCAGCCTCACGCGCGATCCCCGCGCAACAAGAGACATGGTCCCCAAGGAGGTCTGGGAGAATTTGCCTCCCGATCCGGAAATTGTGGAGCTAGAGCAACAGCGACAGGAGTTGAAGGGTGGTCAATACCGAGTGCAAGGTGAAGAGAACGAAGCCGAAATCCGCAGGCTAACCGAGGAGATACGCACGAAGCGGGATCAACGCGACAAGAGTGTCGTGAAAGAGTATCTCGAATATCATCTCTACAACCGCCCAACATGGGATATCGAGAGGCAAGCGAACGGCGAAGA